GGAGTTTAAAGTCCACAAGTCTTAAAATTGCCAAGGTGGGAGACCCCTGAATTAAGCAATGCCACGACTGTTTTATCCCAAGCCTGGAAGCTACGAGAGTCTGGATGGGGCACAACATACCACAGCTGAGTCTTGACAAGAAGAATGAGTTTTGAGTTTTGAGGCCCACAATTCTAGGGACTATTGCACCCTCAGTGGCGGGTGGGATTGCCCCGGATTGCAGGCTGACTCTACTTTCTAGATTCCCAACAGCCCCAGGAATTAAATCCGCTCCTGCACAGAAATTGCACTAACAGCAATTCCCATGACAAAGAATCAGCCATCTCCAGAAGAAACGAGGTTGGGGAGATTGGCTCTCCATAACTGAAGATACAAAGGATGGCAATGTTGGACCACGAAAACTCAAAGAATCCATCCCATAATTACACAACCTCTTACTGACAAGCCAATATTCCCGTTCTCCTCGTTCTCTTCTTTGACCTCATGGTCTGACCGTCCTGTTTCAACCTCCACTGGAGACCCAACAGGCAGCTTTCATCTTTCCCTCTCCAGGTGACCCTGGTGGCACCTGGAATAATAATAATAATAATAGTAATAATAATAATAGTAATAATAATGTTGGAAGGGACCTTGGAGGTCATCAAGTCCAACTCCCTGCTCAGGCAGGTTACCCTATACCATTTTGGACAAATGGCTGCCCAGTTTCTTCTTAAAAACTTCCAGTGTTGGAGCATTCACCTCTTCTGGAGGCAAGAGTGTTCCACTGGTTAATTGTTCTAACTGTCAGGAAGTTTCTCCTTGGTTCTAAGTTGCTTCTCTCCTTGATCAGTTTCCATCCGTTGCTTCTTGTCCTGCCTTCAGACGCTTTGGAGAATAGCCTGACTCCCTCTTCTTTGGGGCAGCCCCTGAGATATTGGAACACTGCTATCATGTCCCCCCTCGTCCTTCTCTTCATTAAACCATAACAGAGAGCTTCAAAATGAGATGACCGTGTTAAAATGCCATTTCCTACACACACACCCCAAAAGAAAGGAAAAATGTAGGAAAACTTCATGGATGTTCATCGTTAGGCTGCCCAGTGCAGAGAAGGGCAAAATACTCCTTTTTTGTATAAGATCTAAAAGGGCAACATTTTTTTCTCCAGGACTGTGGCCAATCTGAAAAAAGCTGTGGCTGCTTCCAGGAGTGGAGGGGCTACATTGGCACCCCAGCTCCCTCTGAAGCACCTTTTGGAGGCTGGAGACAGAGTGTGGCACACCCACACTAAACTATCTGCACCTCAGTGTGTGCTTAAAAGGACTTCAGTTTAATTCGGCTGAAGAGGCTGAAAATCAGCCAGATTCATACACGCGGTGTTGACCCAGGAAGCTAATGTTTCTGTTGACAGTCTTGAGGGAGCATATGTGGCTATGTCATCATTGCCCGTACAGGCCTCCAAGGTCATGGAAAGTTTCTCGGGGAAACACCTCATGTCCCTGAGATAGCACTCAATGTCCTTGGAAGACCTCTTAGTCCAGTGGTGACACGCGTACCAGAGGCGGCACTCAGAGCCCTCTCTGTTGGCACGCGCACCACCGACACCAGTAGCAGGTCCATCAGGCCGCCACCGCCGCCCGGAGCAGGAGCCCCACCCAGCATAAAGGAGGCGAAGCGGCCGACTAGCATTTTACATGCGTCCATGCGCACATGGGGCCACGAGCACAGACGTACTGCAAATGGGGCAGGGCTAGTGCCTGTGTGATATTAGCCCTGCCCCGTTCTTGTGTGGTGCAGCGCCTTGTATCTGCACCCTGCGGCGCGGCAGCAGCCGTTTTTGCGCCTTGCAGCACGGTGGTCCATTTTTGCGCCCCCAGGTTTTGCATGCCAGAGGCACTCAGAGGCACCTCCCTGCCCCTCCCTCCCGAGGGCACCACAATGCTGATGTGGCCCAGGCACTTTGCAATAAATAAGTGGGTTTTGGGTTGCGGTTTGGGTACTCGGTCTCTAAAAGGTTCGCCATCACTGTCCTAGTCAGTCCTGACTCCTTGTTCAAGTGCCTACAGTGATCCTGGCAAGTGGTTAGATCAGGGGTAGGCCACCTTGGCCCTTTTATGATTCCTGGACTTCAACTCCCAGAATTCCTGAGCCAGCCATGCTGAGGGGAAAGGGAGAGGATTCCAAGCTGAGCCATGCTGGCTCAGGAATTCTGGGAGTTGAAGCCCACGAGCCATAAAAGAGCCAAGGTTGCCTACCCCTGGGTTAGAGAAATGATTTGCCCTTGTTTTCTTCGGAGGAGTGTGAGAGAGAGAGAGGGACTGCTGGGCCAAAGCAATCCAGCTGGCTTTGTGCCTGAGGCAGGACTAGAACTCAGGATCCCCCGTTTCTGGACTGATGCCTTAACCACTACAGCACACCGAACTGGGTCAGGTGTAGATTGACATGAACTGAGAATCCCGCCTCCCCTCCTATTCACAGGTGCTTTCCTTCCCCCCCCCCCCCCCCCCCCCC